CGAACAGTAATGTAAGCAGGGATAGAGAATAAACAACCTGTAACATCTGGGTACCTCTAAGGCTACTGACATGAAATGCGTAATACATATGTATATATACATAAACTTTTAAAAACATACGCCTCTGTGGGCATCATCATCATCATATCGTACCCGGCCGTAATAGGCTCGGTAAAAACGTACCCGGCCACGTGGAGCTCGGTAAAACCCAACTGATCAGTGGTTGCACAATAGGTGCCGTACCCGGCCGACTATAGCGCGGCTCGGTAGAGTAAAATAGATACATATATATATAATGCATGCTCGACTCATGGAGTCACGTTCTAAACCTTTCGGAGTGACGTAAGGTCGGTATCCTCTGTACACGTTATTAGGACTAACTCTTCACCATGAACCTTATAAGAATCAGGAAGTACCAATAACATTGATAACATAAGAATAAGAGAAGCAACATCAACATCAATCGTTCCATAAGAGGGGAAACAATGTAAGTACTGCTAGCTTCTAAGAGTAGAGTATCTTTGGAAGCTCGTTCATTACATTATGTACAATCAGAGTCGTGCAAAGGAAGGAAAGGGATAGCCTCACATACCTTGTATATACTGCCCCAATCTCAAGCTATGCAATTTTCACGACTCCTTAGTCTACAATAAGAGAAACGATACTATAGTTACCATTCAAGTGTCATAACTATTATGTATCGACCACAACCTATTTTACGATGAAACGGACAGCACCTCCCCTATATATATGACTTCACACAATTCCAAACAATCACCAAACAACCCAAACAACATCAATAATAATCATATTGAGCCTCCCAAAATAGTCCACGCACAACCAAATCACTTCATACATACGACAGCCACCGTAGTCGTGTCAAACGATCCGAAAATGTTACGAAGAACTATCAGCACACAACCCTACATCTATATGGTGTTTCTCCACACCCTTCCTCCTCCAAAACTCCACAAAACAGTAGTAAAACATGCAGCCCAACAGCAACACAAAACAGTCCACAAAACAATCCGCTACAAGTGAATAACTCGAACTCACGGCTTCCGATCACCGTCCCGTGAGTTCTTACATGTATAGAATGAATTACCATGAATTCAAAGCAGAATAAATGTATGAAAGATAGCAGTAAACTCACCTTACTTGTTGGATAACTCAGCCCTTATCTTGGTTCTTCAAATTCTAGGGTTTACCCCCAATTTGAACTTGAAAGAGAGGGAAAATCAATTAGGGTTTTTGGATAATTTTTGGGAGCAAGTTTGCAGGGGTTTAGGGATGGTTATTTGTGAAATATAATGAGGGATATATTGCAGAAGATAAGACTTTTAATGGGCTCTTTGTCTGACCCGAAATTGCCTCTTTTTGGGCTATCATTTAACCAAGTAGGTGACCCACCTACTTGTCACCTAGCAGCTTGTGCAGTCTTGCAAAAATGTCTATATCTCTCTACTCCAATGTCGTATTGATAAAAGGTTTAATGCGTTGGAAACTAGACTCATAGATCTTCAATTTGGTGGGTAGATCACCCCGTAATTCCAAGTATATTGGGAGAAAAGCTTAATAACATTTGACCTAAAGTTTAAGTAAAACTATAAACTTAAGTTGCAACAACTCTTGTCGACTTTTGTTTCATAACTCGTTTGACTTCAAGACTATGATACAGATATTTTATGATTCATATACCTTAAAATACGACCTCTTGAGAGTATTAAGCACCCCTAGGTTTACCCAAAAATACGGCTGACAACATCCTTGATTCGTTTAACTTCTAATACTTGTTAACCACCCTTATACACCTTTGTATCATTTAAGACCA